CGATCTGAATATCATTTTTAATAGCTGAGGGTCTTGATGGGTTCATCTTGATTTTACCTAAAGCATTAAAAAATGCTGATTAATCTTAACTATATGCATACACTTGTAGTATGCAGGTGACCTGGACTTCACCTCATTTATATGGTTTTAAATCTGAAAAATCTATTAACCTCAATGAAGTACAATAATTTCTACTGCAATAGCTATTTCTTTACAGCTTCAAGAGTGCTAATTACAAAGAAAGCTAATATGAAATTGAAATAACTATTACTTGTTATAAAATAATTACAGGATAGTTTAATTTACTAAAATTTCAACAAGTCTTAAATTAACATGACTGATTATAGTACTCTAGTTAATAAACCTAGAGGTATTCTTTTCACAGGCAAAACACAAATCCTGTCTATCATCTGAATTACACAGACACTGCTCTATTACAGCTGTTTACAGTCCACTTTAAATATTCTTCTGGAGAATACTGACTCTTCCGGTTTTGAAAAACATTTAAAACTAAATACCTCTTAGCTGGGATGTTGTTGTTCTAATGTCTACTCTTAGTATTTATGAAGGGACTGGATGTATACAGGTGCTGGAACAAATAGCTGCATAATTTTCTCTGCGTTACTTTGCTGTACTGTTTTCTACATGGCTTGGTATAGACATGATATGACTCCATGGCACTGCAGTTTGTGGCACAATAGTTCTGTTAGCTTGGGTGTGAACTTGCAGGCTGTATCTGCCATTCTCAGGAAATGTAAACAAGTACTTGGAATAAAACCCATCATTCTTAACAATGTCAGAACCTAGATATAAAAATGACATAAATTAGCATCAAACAAAAATGGTTGTATTTATTTATGCCTTCTAGTCTAATTTATCTAGAATATAAGAATAACAGGAAAATTATTCTCTGATATGCAATCTGTGCAGCTCCTCTAGTTTTGATGGTATGTTAAAACTGTTAAAGATGACTGCAGTCTGAAGTGAAGATGCCTTTTTGTACTGTGTTTTAACTGAAGGAAATGCTAATTTCTTAGCAAAATCATCTATTATTTCATTATAAAGCTCAAGAATAGATTATTTTCAAAATTTATACAGTT